CCCAAATTGGTTAAGGTTAAGGTTTCTTTATTAGTACCTAGAAAGGTCAATTTTTTGTGCAGAGAGGTGATTCAGCGTTACAATACATACATACACATAATGATACACATAATGACATACACAATAAATGTTAAAAAGACCAGACAACATTAAAACAAACTTGGTGGCAGCAGAGTTGTATTTGGTTTGGAGCCAACTGTCTGTTGTGAAAGAAGGTTTTCTAAGAATGAAATGTATATGTCTGACATTTAAGAGTCAAGGTGATGTCTTCTTCCTTGCCTTATAGAGATGTACCAAAGTAGCCAAGAATTTGTAGGATGTACCTTCTCGCAGAATATAAGCAAGTCTGAAACTTTGTCAGTACTTTGTCGGTTCGTGATTGTTAACAAATTGTGTTCTGTTACAACTGTCTGACCTCGGCCGATTAAACTGCGTTATAATCCACAGTCTGTTTCACGATTTCATCATTGGATTTATACAGCAGCAACAACCCCGACCCAACACATGGTTAAAGTGCATCATCTTGTGCTAGCTTTGTTAAGCAGTGATATAGTATTGCGGTTGCATCTGTGAATGTGTGTGAATAACATTAGTTAATACTGATGGCTACTTTACATCGCAACCTCTGCCGTCTGTGTGTGTACGTGGTGTCAATGGATGAATGTGACCTGCGGAGTAAAAAAGTGTCTTGAGTAGTCAACAGACTCGAAGAGTGCTACACAAGCTCATGTCCATTTACCATTTTGCATTAACATTCAAATATAAAACTAGATATGCTACGCTTATATATTTCCTTAAAAATGTGAATTTATCATGTACTGCTAAACTTGTTGATTTGTCAGGGTCACGGAATCTGTTACATAAATAATCTGGTTTCTTTTTTAACCAATGTGTGGCTTTAAAATAAAAAAAATGAACATGTAATTAGATTGGATTTAGAACCTGGGTTGAAAAATACTCAAAGAAATAGGCTGTATCCTGATTTGGAAAATAGCTACTGCTTAGTAGCATATGAATGCAGATCGCACATTAACTTCCAATGAAATTGAATTATGAAACTGTTAAACTTAAGGATCACCACAACAAATTCCTGAAAGTATTCACATCATAACAAAGCAGAGTGACATTTTTCTATTGGTTCACCAGATTGTCCTGAGGTGGCTTTTTTCTTTTAAATAACCTTGTTTAACCCTGTGCCATCAAGAGGTGTATGTAATGTGGTATGCAAGTTATCAACGTAATTGACACTGTGTAACTGTGTTTAGCTTCCACTTGCACAAAATATACCTACAGGCTAATTCCTTCACATGTGAATACCAGAGCAACCTAACCAAACCTTGTTTTCATTCCTCCATTCATGAAAATTGAAAACACCCTCGAGACAAGACACATACTGAATGTTGAGATGTACTCAAAGAGCTACACAAGTGCACATGACTGAGAAAAGGCGAATAAAAATGCACAAAAAAACATAACCATGTTGTCTGCATTAGATCTAGCCGACTGGTCCGGCTGCCTTTCACCTGACGTGCTCATGTCAACAAAAGTTAATCAGTTCAGACCACATTACAGGAAGATAGTGGGGCAGGGAGCACTGCACTGCAGTCACAGTTGGAATGTGTGGGTGGGAGTAAGTGAATGGCTAAACTCAAAAGGAAACTATAAATCTTCCAAAAACTACTTTACTAATACAAATGAATGACATACATATCAGTGACTTTATCTAGATTATGTCCCTTCAACAACCACATGTCTATGTTGCACATAGTTTCAGGGTTGATCTTGTGTGGCAAGTTTGACTTGAAGACAACAGTTACCAGTATTGCACAATAGCACCTGGAAATGAGATGCTGCTGTTGTCACAGTTCTGTCATCTATCTGTCAGCATGACTCAAACAGTCACGTCTGGTCTTGGCTGGTCTACAAATAAGGTTTCTGCAAGGTTATTAATAATGGAATACAACAACATTTTGTCCATCTGAAACAACCCAGCCATTCAGACAGACAATTACAAAGGACAGAAGCGTAAACTTAGAGTTGGTTAAAATTTTTTCTTACACTGACATTGCCAAAAATTCCAACACACTGTTCTTATTCTTCTTACCTGTGTACATTGTTGATGTCAGCTTGAATGATAATCAAGTAGCTTGCAACCACCACTGTCAGGATGTGAGCCGAGTACCTGCACATAAGGATAGATGTTATCAGAACGTGTGCATCTTTGTAATTATTGAAATAACACACTGCTAATTATTTAAATTGTAAGGTGGCTGTATGTCTGTGATAGGATGCATTTAGGGGTCATTGTAGCCTTGACATGTTCCCCCTTAAACTTGTTATTTGTGGATCAAATGCCAACACAACATAACTGGAGTATATCTTTATTCTGTCTTTGCCAACACTGTCATATTTCTCTATAAGCCTGTGGTGCTGCTGACATTTAGCCCTTTTGTTTTGAATGAAAAGTAGAGAAAATCCAAGAAGAGAGAAGAAAAAAGGAGAAGAGCAGCATCAAACTGTGAACAGTGAGATTAAGAATGTGTGAGCCTGCCGCTGACAGATTCATGCAGTACCATCCAAAGCAGAAGATGAGAAAGGCAATGCCGAGGAGAGTGGCCACAGCGTGCCGGACCAGGGGATTGGCATGGCCGGGACTGAGGTAGAGACGAAACCAGAAGGCAGCAATCAGGGCAAACAGCTGGCATGCCAAAAAATTCACCTGTTTGGGATAGAGTGATAGAGTGGAGTTAAGACGGGCATTTACAAAACGTTACCACTAAATATTTCCTTCAACTTTTTGTTGACATGGTCAGAACGGTGATCATTTTCAATGTATTTTAAAAGGGGTAGTGGGTGGTGGTGGTGTAGGCCCAACTGGAGTGCATTATTTTGAAATCTGTTTCTAATATTTTGCTGTCTGCATTAACACACAAGAGTGGAGTATAATATTAGGATCACTTTGATAGCATATGAGATGAGATGAGATATCTTTATTGTCACTGTACAAGTACAACGAAATATTGTTGGAGCAAGCCTGTAGATGCCTAATATCAGAAAACATACAAATATACAAATACTAAAGCCAAATATTCAAATAAGAAATACAATTAAATAATACGATATAGTATACAATATACAATTAATTTGCAGGTGACAGGTATGGAATAAATAGTTGTGCAGGATTCAACTACAAGTAAAATAACTGGCTGTGGCTAATTTAATATAACTCTGAAAAGTCTTTAGTTTTGATGCCATTTTGGAGTGGTGTGCTAAAAAAGCATTTTATTGAAATAACAACTGCATGATATCAATGTGAAAGTAGAGACAGAGACACAGATCATCATGATACACAGCACTCATTTCAGGAGAGCATAAGTTGAGAAATACTGACTTTGAAGAATTACTGTCGGCTAGTGTTTGATTGGCTCGTACCTGATCAAGAGGAAACCTCAGGAATTCACTGACAGGCAGGAGCCATCTGGATCCAGTGGTAGTAAACGTGGTGTCGCCCATCCTAACTTTTCTGTACCGACGCCTCGGTGTTTCCGCTTCTCTTTCTCCTTTCCGTTTTTAATCAAATGTCTCTCTATTTCACATGACTTTATTACATTGTTGTGTGAAGTGAATCCGCGACTTGTCAAACCAGTCTAAAGTGTGACAGTCCAAGTATTAAACTACTCCCCCCTCGACTGTAGGCAACTACCTCCTCCTCCTCCTCCTCCTCCTCCTCCTCAGTCAAGTCACACAGAGACAGATAGAAGATGAAAAGCTTCTCCGGTCAACGCTGCCAAAATAAAAGCCTCACCGGGGAAAGTTCAAAATTAAATTAAAACATTTTTCTACTAAAACGACAAAATAAATTAAACCAGGAAAAATGATGCATTATCGTCGTGTTTCCCCCAATTGTATCCTACTTATAGAGCTGCCACTATAAAGAGTAATTTTTCAATATTTATTATGCAAATGTTGATTTTGTGAATAGCTACATATAGGCTAACTCATTTTGAAATAGAAGTAGATTTAGCTATTGTAAGGCATTGTATTAGCCTATGGGGAAAAAAGTTACTGAGCTATTACCCTTTACTTCCGGTTTTAAATATGAGTTTACAAAATGGGACGATAAAAAATGTGTTTAAAGGACAACTAGTGAAAACAAATATTATAATGAATACTGATCAAGACAGTGTAAACAGAGAGTGTTTGAATAGGTGATTGAAGGCATCACTTTGTAAAGATCTGGAGATGATTGGCACTGTCATCCTGATTCAATACAATCCACTTTATTTAGGCTATATCCCCAAAGAAAGCAGTCTATTTAAGTTTAACTAAGTGTTAAATGCTAGATAAAAAGTAGAATTAAAAGACAGCAGGATTTAAAACATACAACATTAAAGAAAGAACAGTGAAAAGTAAATAAAATATCTAATAATAATAATAATAATGATATAATTTAATACTCAAGTGCAGGTCTACAAAGTAAATCTGAATTGTACTTAAGAACAAAATTTGATTTGCTTTAGTGTTTTTTTGGGCTTTCCATGAATCTGTCATGTTTGATCAGGTCACATGCCAATACATTTCACAAAAAAAACGTAGCTCACATTTGATAAACATGGAGTTACATGTAGAGTCCAAGAAGCTGTGAATAATATAAAATACAAAACTGCGTAAGTGTATAAATTAAAATTAAATGATCATATAAAAAATGAGTGGAGCGTATTTCGTTTTTTGGGAGGGGGTTGTATGAAATCACCTGGGTCTATTTCATTCTACATGTTATGGCAACTTGTGCATCAGTGATCTGCAGCCACATCAACCTTTATTCTTAGTGGAAACATTGTTTTAGGGTATGATACTTGTATTCTCTGCTCTCATTGTTAACTTCACAACAGATCAAATAAAAGAGGTACATTTCTGAGGTTTTAAATAACGAGAGGGCGCAGTTGATTTCTTTGTTGTTAGAGGTTTTCTCTTCGGCACAGTTGGTGACTTGCGCCTCTCAGCGTCCTGTCAGGGAACCTGCAAGGCGTGACTGATGACGTCACCTGTTTACATCTGCCAATGAACACGTGGCGCACAGAATCCTGACCTCTTATTGGTCAATACTCGAGACGTCTGGGTGGACACTATTCCCCCAAGGGCCAATAGCGTGTAACATGTAAATTCCGTTTAAAAATTTCCCGGGAAATCTGAGTTTCGCGGGAGGGCTCTTGAGCGCGTAAACCGTATCCCTTCATTCATCAGGCCGTTTCCTGAAGCCATTTCTAGACGAGGGAGACGAGAGTTGCGCTACTTTTTAATCCGTTGCATCTGCCTAAATGCACCATCTTCAGGACAAATACTACACAAAAGTCGATGAATCAGACTCTCATCTTCACTTCTGTCTGATTATTTTTGTATCCACTGCGACGGATTAGCAGCCATAAGGGCTTGAAAGTACGGAGACAAGAAAGGGGTTACCCCGAGTACGCAAGATGAGAAGAGGGATCTCTTCGGCTCCGGACAAAGTGATTTTAGCGGGGGTCGGGGGCTCTCCTCTGGACAATAATATAATCTTAACTACTCTGTCGGATCGTTTAAACCCTGGTCAACCTAACGCTACCTTCTTTCAAATAATTACCACCCCACCACCTTGCAACGTAACACAGACATCAAATGTGTGTTTATCTGAACCTCAGATAAACAACATTTACACAACTCCGCAACAAGCTGCAGCAAACGGAGCAGGACAACGGCCCGCTCTCGGAAGACCGCCGGTAATAACCCACACGTCTCGTTTTTAACACATATACTTCAACTAGCCTGATGTTAGCTTGCTATGCTAGCCGAGCTTGTTGTTCGGGCTGCTAATGTTAGCTGCTTAGCCAGCGAGGTGGCTAACTAACTACCGCTAGCTAAGTTACCCCAAGTGGTTTAGTGAAGTGGTTTTGTTGGCTGCAGGGAGTCTAACTCTGAGTTTAAGTTAGTTTTTTGTGCACTTAAACGCAGACCTGTCATCTTACGTCGTGCTATGCTAACTTCATGGTGCTTTTGAGTCCCCCTTGCAGCCAGATGGAAATATTGGTAAGATGAGTAAGGTTAGCGTTGGCCTAGTGGCTGCTGTTTGTGTCTTAATTTTGGGGGGTTGGGGGATTGTTGGGCTAGTTGGCTCTTTAGTTAGCGCACATGTAGCTTTTCTTTTAAGCAACGAGTGGTTAAACTTGCAAACTTATGTTCATATTAGTGTCAAGAGGTTTGCTTCAGTTCGACACAACTCGAGTGATATTTCTCTCAGTCGTCTCTGCACATGCAACTTGGATGAAGCTTGAAATGTGTTAGCTCTCAAGGCTAGCAACAGTATTTGGATGGTACAAATGACTACTCGTCGACATCCTCGACCTTATTTTTTTTGTGTTTCATGCCCCTGTTATTGTAAATAAAAGTGTTAAGGTTATGGGGCTTTTCATGCCATGGAAAGTGAAACTTGACTTTTGCTTTAGTGCTGACTTGCACGTTTCCTGTACTCTGAATCTTGCACAAACCACACTAAAGTCGTCACAGGAACATTCAGGGTGTTGGTTTTTCTCTGGCTATTTCTCTTTTATGAACTAAAGCAGCCCCACAATCCAAGGCTGAAGCCACGAGCATGTAGGGGGGTTGGGGGAGATGTCTGCTGATATAAAATGGCTGACATTTTGACTGTCAACAGAGGGCATATTATTTTCTTCTTCAACTTGGGCTAAATGAAGTGAACACCTTTTTTAAAAGATGGTTATAATTGTGCACAAAATACTAAATGTCATGATAGTTTGTTGAATTATTCCCTCTCAAGAGGTTTGAGAGGGAAATGCAGTGGACCATCACCCTGGTCCTGGTGTGTTACTCCAAGAAACTACAACTGGGTGGGCTCAAGCCCCTCCTGAAGTCCAAGGTTCCACTGATTGAAGAGACTGCAAACTACCAGACCATCATGACCATTAACACTTACTGGGACTTGAATGAGGATTCAACTGGGTTATGCATAAAGCTTTCAGATTGAGGCTATAGAAACCAAAAACATGTTCCAAAAGTGGTTAAGAAGAAATGCTTCCTCAATTTTTAAACCAATAGTTAACACATACGCCTCACAAGAACTACATTAGTACAACTGATTTTGACAGGCAGTCATTGTCAATCTAATCACTGAAGGAAAGGGGGGATGGTATTGACATTTCAAATGCAGCATTATTTTAGACAATAAGCTCCTAAAAGTAGTTTTCAGAAAGATGTTGTTGATGGGGTTTGATTAATAAATGCACAGAATGTTCTGAAGGCGTCATGTACCTACTCGGTTCATTTTGTTATGGAGATATCTGGTGCCTATAAACAGGCCTGTATTAGTTTAATTTGGCATAACTATGTAATGTGATCAAAGCATTGGGTGTGAGTCACTTTTAAGCAATGTGGGTTTGGTTTGCCCCGGCCAGTGAGTTAAGAAATGTCAGCCACTGGTTTTGTGCCACATCATTAGATTGGCATTTTCTTTCCATGTGATATTGGACTTCAACTGAAGGGACTCTTATCTCTTGAACTTTATGACACAATATCAACTCCTTTATAAAAACTGAAATGGAAAAACAACTCAAGAATGATTTCCTCACCAAACTAATGCCTGAGGAGTTCAACATTAAAATGTACAAAGTAGCACACAGTTATTACACTTTCAACAGATTTGACATATAATTTGCGTTATGCTTTAGATCACAGGAGATAACAGACACTGGAAAACTATGATAGAAGTAATGATGCATTCATAATCGCATATCGGTGGATCTGGCTTTGAAGTTGGGATTCTTTGAAAGCAATGTTAACGCCCATATTTGTTGTCAACTGTATTGTATTAACTGTATTACTTGTCTTAGGCAAAAAGGCGCTTGGCGCTTGATGATTCAGACCACCAGTACCAATCAGAACCAACCAGGACACCAAGAGGCAGAGGAAGTGCTGGGGTGACCAATGGGGCGAGGATAAAGACACCTAGAAGTAAGGAACTCTCCTTCACCCTCCATATACACTAAAGTCTGTTTGATTATGTAAAAAAAAAAGACATGTTCAGTGTTCTCATTCAGTTTAAAACAGTGGACATTGTTCTGGTCCAGACATAATCAAGTAGGACTACCATTCAGTTCTCACTTTTAAGTGGAAGGTTTAACTCTGCTCTAAAACAACATAGAAATTTAACACTCATTTAAAATAATTAAATTGTAAAATCCAGTGAATAGTTATTCGAACCTTAATACCTATTTTTTCATCCAAAAAGTTGGCTGCATCATATACACCGGTGCGACTAATGTATCAGTATAAAATGCTGTCTTTACTGTGGGTGACGCCACCACCATCCAGTGTTTCCCACAGGATTTCATGAGGCTATGGTGGGGGGACACCAAACCCTCTTGGGGGGGTCCGGGGGCATGCACCTCCGGGAGAAAAATGTTTGCATTTTAAAGTTAAATGCATAAATGTTGTGCTCTTGTAGTGCACTTAGCTAAATGAATGTAAATAAAAAGTGAATTTGCGGTATACAGTTCCTTCTCCTCTTTCAGTTATGATTATCGTTCCTCTCCAGCCTCTAGCAGATGATCAATTTTACATTTTGTTTCTTGTCCGTCCACTTGCATGCGCAATGGCACGTTCCAGACTCTCGCTCGCCCGTATAACTCTCTCTCTCCCTCTCAAGTGAGGTCCATGGACCCACCTTTATCTTTAAATGCATGTTTTTGACAGAATGAGGAAGAGAAAGTCTTGAAAAAAAGGTTTGATCTAATGCTAAGACTTATAAGTAAACTTAAAGTGCAGTTTTTCAAGACAACAGGTGAGCAGCTGAGCGGTGCAGTTTTAACGGGGTAAACTGTACTTTAAATGTTCTTATGCGGGCCGCCACAGTCTAGTTAATTAATGGGAAACACTGCCATCACATACTGTGCACGACTTGACTTGTTTGGAAATTCTTCCACATTCATTGTGTATTGCAAACTGATTAAACACTGTGCTGGGAAAGATAGCGACACAGACCAGGCTGGCTGCGCTGCTTTAAACATCTTTTCTCGGTCACAAGCTCATAATCATGCATTTCCAGAAAACAGGGTTATATTGATCCGTAAATAAACCTTTTCGAGTGCTCTTTTGATTGAATATATTTAAATTACAGAGTGACCAGCGGAGTCAGGCAGAGCACTCACAAGCTTATCTCACAACATTCACTGCAGACTGAGAGCTCAACTGCTGTACTGTAGCTAGTAGTAGTGCAGAAAAAGGGACTGTACTAAAAGAGCGACACAGCTGTACAGAAACAGCACGTTGTCGACTTCGGTGAACACAATTAAAATTGTGCCGCAGGAAGACAGTTTAAACTTTTTTTCTGTTTGAGAGACCTTCAAAAACAGAATGCATCTCATACATCAGTGTGACTTATATTCCAGATTTCACAATATTATATTTAGTAATACTTGTGCTTTATATTCTTCCTGTATTAGTTGTGTCAAAAACAGATTTATCATCTGATTTGGCTTTTTTTCACACAATACAAAACTTACTTCCCCATTCTGCCTGATTAATTTATTTATACAGTTGTGACAACACAAAAAACAAAACTAAATGACCCCGCATTATCGTGCCAGATGGCCCCTGACTCACTATTTAGTCCTTTCAGTTCTATGCTGCATGGTCTTCAGAAATATGACTGGAACTGAAAAAAGAATCAGAATTTATTCATAAGTTATTTATTCTTTTGCAGTTTAATATGTTGGAGATACCTGAGAGACAATTTTGGACCCTGCTAGCTTGAGATCGCCCTTTTATGTAAATCACAAATTTACAGCTGGTCATAATTGTTCGATTTACTTCCAGTATTTCCTGATTTGGAAAAAGAACGACAGTGACTCAGCTTTAGTTCCTCAGCACTGCAGCTTTTAATGTTTCCAATACAAAGACACCACACAAACTTTCTGAAATGAGCACAAAACTGACCAGAGAGAGTATTTATTTCTGGTTCTGCAGCAAGTTCGAGTGAGCTGATCGGAGAACGCAGGATACTATCTGGAGAATTCACCTAGAGCCAATAGCAGTCGGAGTGACGTTTATATACTGTGACTGCTGCATGGTGCTTAGTATATACATGTGATCGCTACGATCTCCGTGCATGAAATTAAACAAATGCATTACGTTTTCTGTTGGTCAGTATGTTGTTCTTCGCTCTTTTGTTAATAGTGTGATTTCGCTGAACTACACGTAGCATTGATATAAAGTCAAATATTGTCATTATAGCGTTGTATAGCAGACTCAGCTTCTTCGTCCGCTACTTCTGCGTCATTTTTAACGTCCTGTCTTACCTCAGGAGACTCGCGCACCCCCTCCCGTCTGACAGGGAGGAGCAGTCCTCCTGAAATGATCTAGATGATTTTAGGAATACAGATGTGAGAACGGCTTTATTTTTTTAATTTTTTTTTGTATTTAATTGTTAAATATACTACCAGTGAAGATTCTCAAATTATTATAAAAAAAAAAAATCAGGTTTACAGGACAGTGTCTTTTGCTGCATGAATCATTATTAACAGGACAGCATCTCTCTACCTCTCTGTAGCCCTTTTCAGACTGCGTAACAGCCGTCATCTTGTCTTTGTACATTCAAATTGATTCCTCAACAGCTTAGAATTTGTGTCCCAGTCTGAATTAGCATTGCATTACGGAGTTGTGGAAGTACAGCACATTGAAAGCTCCACATACAGACACAGTCAGATAAGTTCTAACACAAAGTGCTACACTGCCCCGCTTGCTCATCTATCTCGCCCTGTAACGCCTCTGTTACTAACTCTGAAGACAGTATAGAGGGGTAGAGGGGGGATCACTTTGTCTCTCTCTCTCTCTCTCTCGCTCTCGCTCTCTCTCTCTCTCTTCGTTCCCCCATTATGCCTCTGCAAATTGTCAAAACTTTTGCCTAATCCCTCCTTTAACCAAACATGAGATTCCAGTAAAACAAACAAGAGGTCAATTCTTAAATGCATCAGCATGTGTCACATATTTAATCTAATTCTGGATGTTTGAATTTGTGTATTTCTTGACATTTTAGTGCACAGGGTCTGAAATTAACGTTTTGACTCACCGGCCAAGGTGGCAGGTAGATGAAAAATTTCACTGGCCAAACACATTTTTTACCCGCCAAATTAACAAATTGTGTTTTTGTGTCCTATACACATCTGTTACAGTACATTTAATTGAGAAGGGATTATGGTCTGTTTAATCAATAACAGATTTAAGTCACGGATTCGATCATTTTATCAGATCGGGAAATTGAGAATTTGTAAAAAAATATATCTGCTATATATATATATATATATATTTTTTTTTAAATGTATTATTTGTAGGCAGTAGGTCTCAGTGTGCCCTGCGATGCTCACAGTCATGACAGCAGAGAGAGTAGAGACAAGTAGCTGCAGCAACATCTAACGCGCTTCATACTTGTAGCATAGTTTTTATGACTTTTTGATAAAACATTTACCCGCCCTGTGGCGGATAGCCCTCTGAAAAGTACTCGCTAAAAACGGAAAATCTACCCGCATTTGGCACTTGGCGGGTGTTCATTTTGGACCCTGCAAGTGCATAAACAAAAGAAAAGAAAATCATGTGTCAACTACATATGAACTATCCATATGCTTCTTTTATGAAAAGCTAATATAGTGCAGTACCCAGTAATTGAAGTCCACATGTGCAAATGAACAGTTCTTTCACATATTTTCTCCCTCTCGAATGCATTTAAAGAAAACACTAACATATTGTTCAGTAAATAAATCTTGTGCTCTTTTGATTTAAATAGTCCTATATTAAAGTTAAAGAGTGACCAGCGGAGTCGGGCAGCACGAATCAGGGGGCTATAAATACTTGCCAACTTTCCCTGTAGGCTGAGAGCTCAACTACCGTACTGTCGCTAGTAGGAGTGCAAACGCCACAAAGCGAAAAGAGATGGTATTAAAAGAGCAACACAGCTGCTCGCAAACTGCACGTTGTGGACTTTGCCTACATGCCGATTTATATTGTGTTCAGCAGACAGTTTAAACCTTTTTTTCTTTCTGGGAAACCTCCAAAAACCGATTGGTCTTATATACTGGTGCGACTTATATTCAAGATTTTACGGTAGTTAACTGTGATGATTTAAACTGGGGTAGTGCATAATAGTGTAACCCATTAGCTGCTGTCCCTAGTTTAGTCTTTGAGACCATCCCTTTAAAAGGACCTTTTTAAACAAGGCTCACCGTGTCCTACTACTTGTTGACTTACACTAAACTAAGTGATAAAGTCTGCAGGACATGCATCATGCATGATCCTCACATGTAGTCACAGTTTCAAGCAGCACTGGAACAAGGTGCTACTGAGAGAGAATACACTCTTGTACTCTCAAAAAGCAGAAGCATCACATGCAAACTATGCATGCTCAGTGGTCTATTCCTCCTGTGCTCTAGTGACGGGTTATGCTAATGTGATATCAAACTGAATCTCCTTTTTTAGAATTGTAAAAAAAAAACAAGATACTGGCATGTTTTCTTCTTCCAATCAAGTAACAGAAAAGTTACAGCCTTAACTGGTCACGTTAGTTTTTTCACAATATATATGTTTAAACCATTGATTGACAGCCCTTTGATGTTATTGCATGAATTTCAATGGTCCTATTCTGTATTTAATCATTGCTCTGCTTGCATCATAGCGCCAAAGTCTCCACCAGAGAAAACGCGGTACGACACTTCCCTGGGCCTGTTAACAAAGAAGTTTGTGGAACTCCTCGCTCAGTCTTCAGATGGCGTTCTGGACCTCAATCTTGCCGCTGAAACCTTGCAGGTAATTTCACATTCAAAGTAGTTGAATAGAAAATATAAAGAAGCAACCTAATAATAAAATACATTTCTTTAACACTGTAAGTGATGCTGACAAAACTGTTGAACTATTCTTAATACTGGCAACATTGGGGGGCATCATGAATGTCTATAACAGTTCAAAGCTTTGATACCGATGTTTGGGATTATTCCCCCTCTCCGCCCCCAACATTTAAATCAACCAACAAATAAAACCAATGAAACTTATATCCTCCACCCTCAGGTACAGAAAAGGCGGCTGTATGACATCACCAATGTGCTAGAAGGTATTCACCTCATCAAGAAGAAATCAAAGAACAACATTCAATGGATGTAAGTGGTTCTTCTCTCTACATATCTGGTTTTTCATCTTGTTACAGAGAACGTTTATTATTCCTGGTGACCCAAGCATCTGTTAAAACTAGTCTTTGTATTTTTAAGTTTCTTCATGAAAGGATGAATTAAACACTGACATGTTCGGTTTCTCATGGTTTTCCTACTTCTCCAGTACTTAGTATCCCTCTCTTGTTTTTCAATGAGGGCACCGAACAGAGCAGACAAATGTCCATAGTTCGAGCTAGTTCCTGCACAAGTAAGGAGCAACTATGTTGGTTTCTCATGTTAAAACACCAAGGTTGCAGAGCTGTGTTTGTTGGGAGTCAAAAGTCTTTGTGTGTCTCTCTCAGGTTGGTGTTAAATAAATGTTGTGGTTTTAAAAGTTTTTGTTCAGCAAACAAACTGATAGTATAGAGTGAGAGAGACGATTAACTGAGATGAGCACTCTGACCTATGAAGAATCTCTGATGCTCCTGGAAACATGTCAACACTGCAGATACACTTGTGCCTTAAATTTAACGGAGGATGTTTGCTGCAGTGTCATTCTCAGATTTGTCTGTAGTTAGTGACGCTGCAATCCGATGTCCATTTCTGCGGCAGAATGTTTATTTTCTACGTCTTATTTCTGGTTTGTGGCTTTGATTCAGTGCTGGTAACCTTTGAGCTGCGCTGCTCATTTGTATACGTTTTCATTCATGAGGTGCTTTGCATTGACCGTTTATGGTTGAATTTGGGCGTGTAGAGGGTGGCTTATGGGGGCTGAATCACATGCGGAACATGTCTATCGTTCTATAAAGGGAGCATTGCATGCCGGTGTGTGTATGAATGGTTTTATAAATCTGAATATTTTGGGGCGAATGTCATTCCTGAGTTTTAGCTGCATGTACACTTTTATTACAGGTTCTACGCTCTGTTTTATAAATGAGACTCCTGAGCTGTTTAAATGTTTCTTTATAGGTTTATGAGATATACAACATTTCAAATTGAAGGCCTGGTTTTCCTTTTCTGGGGTGAAAATGATTCAGATAACTCTACAGATACAATGTTTTTTTGGGGGGGCTTTTTGTGCCTTTAATGGATAGAGAGGACAGTGAATAGAGTCGGAAATCAGGGAGAGAGAGAGTGGGGAATGACATGCGGGAAGGAGGCCACAGGCAGGAGGCGAACCCGGGCCGCCTGCTTGAGACGACAGCCTCCATACATGGTACGCGCGCACTAACCACTGCGCCACCAGCATCCCTATACAATGTTTTAATTCATTTCCTTCTGTATTGCAGTGATTAGAAGCCCATTAGTGCCATACAGGGGTTATTTGAGGTTACAAGTACAATCCCATCTTTTATTCACAATAATATCTGCCTTAATGTATGACAAGCAATGGTACATAAATCTGTTATGAACAAAAACCAACAAAAATTGCATGTAGCTAAAGTGATTTTATTTTTCAAATGACTGCACCAAATACCAAACAATCATCAGGGTTGAGTGAAACATGTGTAAGCAGAAAACCTGAGTTATACTGAGCTGCAGCGCGGCATGACAGAAGTTAATGTTTATGACGATTCTTTTGGAAATTAAGCGGGGTACAGACTACAAGCTAATCCGGCCGATTTTTGCCCAATTTTTATTTCCTCAGTGGGACGTGGCAGTCTCAAGTTTGGAAATGGCTGGCTTGGCGTCTGAGAATTGTGATATCTAACTCAAAATCAACTTGCCTTGTCTTTGATCTTTGATTTTATACACCAGTATAATAAAATAATGCTTCTTTCTTTAATACTATATCACATTATACTGAAATTGACATAAAAGACCAACATTTACCATCACATCAATCATTTCAATGTATCATATTTCTTTCTTATTTACAGTATTCCTAGAATATTCATATTTATTACAATTTATACAAGGTAAACAATATCACAAGTACTTGAAAAAATCAAGAGAAAAATGTAAAATGAGGTAAGGCAGACTTGAACATTTTGAATGTTTATATTTGCCTAGGTAAGCCACTGGATGTGTTAACGCTTGTAATGTAACAGTTACGTTATTTCTATCTTACTGGCAGCATGAGTGAAAGAACAAGCCTAATGTTAGATTCTTTTAAACGTTTGCACAGTAAATATTGATTAATTAGCAGACCACTTTAGCAGCACTATGCTAATATAAACAAGGTCGTAGTTAGCAATTCTTTAGTTGTCAGCTAATAAAGGACTAGATGGTTTTTCTCATGCCTGCATTGATGATAAAGTATCGCTTCAGGAGCCAGGGGTTTCTTCTCCAGAGCTGTGTCTGAATAGTATTGGTTTTATTTCACTCTCACTCACAGGGGCTGCAGTCTGTTGGAGGTAGAGGGAGCACTGAGCCAGAGACAGATACTGACAGCAGAGGTTTCTGCACTGGGAGAAGAAGAGCACAGACTCGAACAACTCATCCAGAAATGCAGCCTGGACATGAGGCATGTGACGGACTTGCAAAGCAACCAGAAATATCCTTTTGATGTGAGCTGACATGTAATATAAAAGTTAAAATGATTCTTTAGTTACTTCTTTTGACTGAATTTTCATAATTCTCTTGGCTAAAAAAAAATAATGAATGGCAGTGGTGGAAAAACGTTAGTGTGGTGCTTTGTATTGACTAAAATGAAAACACTCACCAAAGGCTCATCAATAAATGTCTTGCTATTTTTGCCTCACTATTTCCACTTACTAACAAGCAACAATCTCTGATAAGTGAGAAAAGCAAGAGCCAGTCCCTTACTGAGCTCTCCTTTCTCATTCATCATCCATGTCTATAGAGTGACAAAAGGAAAATGGAAACAGGGCATATGGTTAAAACAGCTTGTTGTGTTTCTTGCAGCTCCCAACACTCAAATAGGAAACGATTGAATCAAGCTGATTTTGT